CGTGCCCAAGAGACCCTGTACCTGCAGGGAGGTGAATGCCGGGGTCAGGGGCTCCAGCAGGCGGAAGCCCTCGGGGATTTCTGAGGCCACAGGGAAAAGGTTAACAGAGGCCGTTTCAAAGCTCAGGAAAGGAAACCAGCCCAGAGCTGTTCTCCGAGCCCGCGCCCTGTCCCCGTTCCTGTCCCACGTACCTGGTTACAGGTGTTGATGTCTACCCCATTCCTCAGGTGGTCCAAAGCTTTGTCCAAGTTTCCCGATCGCGCCGCCCTCAGAAAGCTGGTGGCAGCATCGGCCTGTGAAGAGAAATGGCAGCTGTGAGTGTCCCCTGTGTTAGCGACCGTGTGCCGGTCAAGTACGGGGTGTGAACAGGGCTAATACCCGCATGGCAGTGACTGCACCCTCCCAGGGTGCTCTGGGGCCATGGCAGCACCCACGCGTGAGGCAGGGGGCCCTGCTCTTGGGCCCAGAACGTGTGACCCCCTTAGAGCCCAGGCCTGCCCTCCTCCGGCATTTTTACAAGCGAACACTCTTGGCCAGGCCCAGGAGGAACCGGCTTTGGAGAGTGGCACGGGCTGGGGTTGTACCGAGGTGAGGTTTCAAGGGCCCCACATTCTGGGGAGGGACCAAGAATGTCCTTCCGGCCCCAGCCCAGAGAGTCATGAGTGCAAGCACCCAAGGGACGAAGCAGGTGCTTGGGTGCCATTTGTGTTTGCTTCGTCAGTAAACGGCGCTTCGCACGGACCACGCGTGCTGAGGTGCATGATCAGTTCTTTAATGCAGCTACACACATGGCAGTTTCTCAAAGCTCTCGGAAGGCGGAAATGAAAGCACGAGTCTATTCTGGTGCAGAAATTCTGGAAACCTCTGCAGAGTTTTCTCGGAATATGCATTTTTCATGAACTTTCTGAAACTGTCGTATATTACACACGCAGATGGGCATTCAATCCTCATTCTGAAAACCCCAGAGGCAAGCAGGACTGATTCCCATTTTACAGACAAGGGGCCTGAGGCACAGAGAGGCACAGTGAGGGCACAGCCTGCACTCAAACACAGGCCGCGGGGCCCCGAGTCACAAGCTGCACCCCCCAGTTCTGCCGCTGGCATGTTCTGGGCTCTGACACACGGCCGTCCCTCAGCAGATTTCCTGAATGTGAGGCAGCCGCGCACACCTACCCCACGCTATGAAGAGGTGGACCTGGGAACACTTGTTCGCATTAAGATGAACGACAGTCAGAGAGAGCGCGACAGTCAGGATGGACACCCACTGGGGCCGACAGCCGGCGTGCCCCAGCTGTGCTGCAGGGCTGGCTGGCTCAGTGCTGCCGCGGGAGGCCCAGAGCCCTGCAGCCCTCGGCCGCCCCGAGTCCTGGGTGCTCCTTCCTTATTTGTAAGCTGAGGGGGGCAAGGCTTCCCCATCCCCTTGTGGCCATGCTTAAAGGAAACATAACGTCATGGGCGGTGTGGGCCTGGCGCTGGGCATGTGGGAGCCATGGCTGAGACGGGTAGGCGGGGTGGCCGCAACACGCACACAGGCGGGACCCTGGCAGTGGCCTTCCACAGCGTGCATGCCTGGTGCTCCTCCCACCCAGAGGTGCTCTGCCTCCTCCTCTCGGCCCCCTCCTCAGAGCTGAGTGGGGCCCCCTGAAAGACAGGCCCACACCCTACTCCCCAGAATCTGCAAAATGTGACTTTCCTTAAAAACAAAGGTTTGGAGGCCAGCAGGTAGCGTAGTGGTTGAGGCGCTAGACTCCCACATGGCTGACTGCAGTTCAAGTCCTGGACCTGGCAGCTTGCAACACACAGGGTTGGCGTGTGTCCATGTGTACCCAAAATCCCAAGAGGAGAATGGAGGAGAAGGAATTGTGGCATGGCCATCCCCCTGAGAAGTGCTTTCTCTCTCTATCTCTGTGTGTGCCTCTAGCACACACTTTATAACAAAAATATCTCTTTCTAAAATAAAGGGGTCTTTGCAGACATACAATGGGGTCTTAAAACAGTTTATGAGAAATGCCTATTAGGAAAAACTATGTATGGATTTTGACATTATTTTGCACCCAAATAAACTTGTACTTTAATTCCATTTTTCCACAAACTCTTCGAAGTCCCCTTCTAATTAAGCTATGGTTCTTGAGAGAAGTCATCCTTAATTACCTAGGTTGGTCCTAAATCCAATGACAAGTGTCATTAGAGGAGGCAAAGTGATTGATCTCTCTCTCTCTGTCACACACACACACACACACACACACACACACACACGGAGGACAGAGCCACGTGAAGATGGAGGTGGAGAACAGATGAACCTAGCCACGAGTGAGGAAACAGAAACCACCAGGCGGGAGAGGTGAGGAACACAACCCCCCCACTCCACCTGCTGCCCCAGAATCTTTGCAACCTGATTTTAAAAATGCATTTAAAATACATCTTTCTCCATTTCATTTATGCAAGTCTTGTCTCCCCAGCCAAATTGCTTCGAAGGGCAGGGACCTCACCTCTGTCCCTTTGGAATCCCTCAAAGCACTGTGTGTCTGAGAGGCCCCGCCCGCCCTGACCTAAAGTGTTGGCCTCAGAACCCGATTCCTCGGCAAGGCCTCTGGGGCGAGAGAAGGCTCTGGAAGTGAGGCAAATTCTGTTGGAGCTGGGCTCGCAGGGAAACCAGACTCCAGCCTGGGTCTCTCCGAAACACGTCTACTTACGCCTCTGGTTCAGAATGTCTGTGTGGATGCGACTGTTAGGAAAAACACTACAAGCTCCCCCCAAGAATGAGCGCAGAGACATTTCTCCCACCCATTAACTCTCTTTTGCTGTACAATAATAGGATGAGAATGAGTGGGTAAAAATAGATGCAATATAGCCCTGACACGGTCCGACAGCTTTAGAAAGCAAGGCAAGATTTTTATGACAGACAAGCAGGGAAGCCCAGGGTAAGGGAAGCCTGGCCTAGACCTGACTGGGGCAGGCAAGTCACTTTCTACGGTTTCTGCAATCAAATAATCAAAGCATAGCACTGGTCATCGGGCCAAGTGTGTCGCCAAGGTGACAGCTTTTCACCCTTGCACCTGAGAGGTATACCTCCCATCCCCATTTTACAGGGGACGAGACAGGCTCGGAGAGTTAACAACTTGCCAAGTTCTGGGGATGGGTAAGTTCCAGATCTGGTCAATGTGCCTGGCCACAGTCTGCACCTCTCCACTGCCCTCGACCCCAGGGTGCATTTCAAACCTGAGGGCAGACTGAAAACCGGAGGAAAGCCTGGCAGACCATGGGGCCTCAGGGCCTTAGGGAAACAGTGGCAGGGACAAGGCTCTGGGTAGGTCCCAGCAGGCCTGGCTCTGTCCTGAGCACCGTGTGAAGGCTGACACAGGGCTCTGGAAGGAATCCCCCAGTGCCGGCTGTTCCTTCTGCTGATGGTAAAACTGGGCCCAGGGAAGCAGAGTCACTGTGGTCACTGGACAGAGGGACGTCCACTGCTGAGGCGTTTGCGTTTTTTTTCGGCCTTCTGTGAGCGTAGTCAGGACATGAGGACCCTCGGGGACCTGAGACGGGAGCTGCAGATGACGTCACTCCTACTGGCTCTTGTGTGTCCCCAGGCTTAGTCTACACTGTATTATTGAGGTCCTCTTTCAGACCAGTGTCCTTCCAAGGTACAGAGAGGCTGACTATAAACTCAGAATATAGGTCCCTGTCCTCATGATTTGAAAAACCAAGAGACGAAGTTATAAAGGGGGCACTGGTACATGCATGTGCGTGCCCACAATTCACTCCGCAAGGATTCACTGAGGCCCTCCCGGGTGCTGGGGAACACGTAAGCAACAGAGCAAAGGCCCTGGTTGGAATGAGACAGCCCCACCCCATCCCTCCGAGCCCCTCCTGCCCACTGTTCTCAGCCACTCCCAGAGACCTGTCCTGGCTGCTCCAATGGGGCAGGCGAGTCCGCAGAAGCAGCAACGTGAGCGAACACTAGCCAGAAAACAGCAGCACGAACATCACCAGTAAAACCTCAACCAGACTGCCTCTGGGCTATGAAAGCCAGGAGCAAAGTCGCTGGCCCTCTCCACAGCCTACCATCCCTGCTGAGCGGGCTCAGACTGGCCCCTCTGGGGAGGAGACTGGGGCGCTGAAGGAGCCGGCCCACAGCCACAATGCTCATAAACCCTGGGTCGCCATCGTGGCTCGGGCACCCCTCTGGGCACCCTACGAAAGCTACCCCCTGCATCTTGGCACCTTCCTCATCTTTTTTTTTTTTTTTGTTCATTCACTTATTTCTTTTATCAGCAAGAGAGACATAGAGGAAGAAGGAGAAAGACAGGGAGACAGAGAGACAGCATCTCCAGCAGGGCCCTAGTGCCACAAGCCACCCCCAGCTTCTGCCAGCCCCAGTTCATGGGCATGCACAGGCCCAGCACACTCAGGGAGGTCTCCAGACACAAACCCAGAACCTGGCCACATGGATTAGTCTCACAGAGCAGTATCCCCACTGCACCTCCATCCAGCACCCCCCCCTCCTCGAGCTTCGTGTAATTTCACCCACGTGTATGTGCATCCGTGCACACAGCACACATTTTGTGTGGCCCTGGCCTGTGTCCCTGCTGACTGACCCACGTGTAATCTGGGGATTCCTTTCAAGGCAAAGGAGCTTTATTATAAAGTTTTATGTCTCAAGCCCTCTACATAACGCATCCTCTCGCTTTTCCTAATAATCCCGTGATTCCAGTTCTTTCATCACTTCTTTTGGCCAACGAGGTGACTCTGTCACAGAGAAGTTGAGGAACTTGTCCAAAGTCACAGAGCTCACATGTGGCCTGGCCAGGATTTGAATCTAGGAAGTGTACCCCGGGGCCTTTCCCCTAACCATTGCATATCCTGCCTGGCGGCCAGTCATTTCCTAGAGCTCACAGGGTCCTCTGCGTTTCGGCATGGCTGACTGAAGCCCCCTGCCTGCAGAGGCTGTGCTCACTTCAGGAGGAAGGAAATGCAAGAGGAAGGAACGGAATGGAATTCCTCTTGGGACTCAGGCTGCTCTGTAGGGAGGTGAGCCCCGGTTACCTGAGACACCCGGACTATTATTAAACTTGCACTTCCTGAGTGGAGGACCGAATATAGCAGTAGAAAGGCTGCCCGGGGGGCTCCGGTGTCCTGGGAGGACCAGGCCGGAAGCGGGCTGGTGTCAGCATGCCTGCCTGCACCACAGGGCCCTGGCTCGGGAGACACCAGCAGCCCGGAAGAATCCCAGCACCTCTCGACACCTTTTGTGGGGCTTGACATGGTGCAAGTTCCCCCGGGACAGATCGGGACA